TGATTAAGGGAAAAGTTCACAGAGGCTGGTACCAGTTGCAGTGTCATCTATTTGTGAATGGGACCATATATTTGGTAATCCCCCCACCCCTGCCTAGACACTTTCTGGACAATTGATTCTGCTTTCTTATACTCTCTGCTCCAGTTAGTCTGACCTCGAATCTACTCACAGTGGTTTACAGTTGTTGGGACTCTTCAGCAGATATACAGCACTCTTGATAGGCCACATTTAGGAAGATAGTGTAGTTGGCCAATAAATGTTTATAGGATGGAAGTGTTGGAAATAGTGAAGAAGGATATTCTTGCTTTATTAGATAAAGATTGGTTTGCCCTGTGAATGATCACTCGTGTAGTAAAACATAACTGAAAATAATTCATTTCCATCAAGTTCTAAGTTAGTTGCAAAACATAAAATTCTTCTCTTACTATATGTCACAAGAAAATTAACGGCCTCATTGCTCAAGCAGTTTCTAGGCCTTTGCCACCTAGTGTAGAAGGTACTGAGGTAACAAGCCCCAGTTAACTATAACTCTGCCCTGGAAGCTACTTTGCAGCTCTTTTGACTCTGTATAGGAGAAAGAATTGATGACTCAGAAACCTTAATTATCAATTTTAGGACCTTGTTGTTCAGTTAGATTTCTTTACCCACTTATGCCTGAAGGGATTACTTGCACCACGATTCCAAGATCTGGACTATGACAAATTTAGGCAAAAATCTAAGCTAATTGTTTTACTCTTATCCCAAATGGAAAGTATTTATACTTACGGAGAGTATTATTCAATTCCACAAATATGAAAGCATCAGAGTTTTTACATTCACACCAAAAAAGTAAATTCTTTGAAAACTGTAGAATGAATGAGTCTTTTAAATCTTATTTAGGTAAATGTCGAGTGTTAAATGCAGAAATAAAAAAAATTTCAGGCTGGGTGCAGTGGCTCACATATGTAATCTGAGTACTCTGGGAGGCCAGGTGGAAGGATTGCTTAAGCTCAGGAGTTCAAGACTAGAGCCATAGTGAGACCCTGTCTCTACTAAAAATAGAAAAATTAGCCTGGTGCTGTTCATGGTGAGCACCTATAGTCATAGCTACTCGGGAGGCTGAGGCAGGAGGATCACTTGAGCCCAAGAGTTTGAGGTTGTTGTGAGCTTCGATGCCACGGCACACTACCCAGGGCAACAGCTTGAGGCTCTGTCTCCAAAAAAACAAAAAAAGAATCTCACTCTGTTGCCCAGTTAAGAGTGAGATTTGGGGAGCCCAGGCTGGATTCGAATCCACCAGCTCAGGTGTATGTGGCTGGCACCCTAGCCACTGTGCTATAGGTACCAAGCCCAGAGTGAGATTCTGTCTCAAAAAAAAAAAAAAAAAAGCTCTGAAGAGTTCTTAAACATAGCATTGTAAAGTGGGATAGGCTCCTAAAAATCAGTGGATTAAGCATCTAAAGTAAAGACCTTACGTATTTAACAAATACAGATGTCTACCATACCCCAGTGCAATGATGGATGATTAGGAGCTGGTCCTGCCAGAGAGCCTTCTTCCAGTCTTAGGAAGAAGGTGGGTGTGCAAAGTCCAGGAAGTGAAGGGACATACAGCTGCCCTGGGAACCCCTGCAGTAGACAGTCTGCTTGGCTAGGCTCAGCCAGCCCATGTGGCAGACCTTGCTCCCCTTGTTCTGTCTATATCATGAAGGCCATGGAAGGGTTTTAAGCAAGGTCAGTAAGTAACCCATTTACATTTCAAAAGATTGGTTTGAAACATGGAAGATAGATAAGAATTTATCAGAAAGGTCAGTTAGGGGGCTGAGAGAAATTCAGGGGAGATAAGAGGAACTATTTGGAAGCAGCATCTGGCCCATTGTAGGCACAAAGTAAATACAGATTAAATGAACAAATGTGATTTTAAATCCTACACTGTGGTAAAATTTTGTGCTCACATGCATTTTTGAGAGAGAGTCGTTAACTTTCATCAGATTCACAGAAGGTTCATGACCCTCAGAAGATGGAAAACTACTGGGTTAGATGTTAGCCTGGGAGGAAACAGACATTGTGTGGTGCTCCATAGAGCTGTGAATTTGTTCATTTCAATGAAGAGCTGAGACTTATAGAACAAATGATTATCAGTTATGCTGATGACATTGAATTGGAACAGATAGCTGATTATCCCACAAGTCAAAGTCAACATTCATGGAGGGTAATAATTCAAGGATAACCCAACAGAAAGTTGTAAGTAGGTTCATAGGCCAGCTGCACTATGGTGGAAATTGGATGGAAGACCTGTGCCTTAATAGCCACTGGGAGTGGGGAAAAATGCCCTAGGAGTTTTATGAGGTAGTAAGCTCCCCATCACTGGAAGTGTCCAACAAGAGGCAAAAATCCAGGTCATGGATTGTATATAGGGTGAGGCCAAGTGAAAAATGAGGCTGGAGAATTCTGCATTGAATAGGAGGCTGACTGGCCTTCACAGATTTTTTAGAGTGCTAAAATGAATAATAGCCCTATTTAGAGACCTTTGGAAAGTGCACTCTTACAGGCCTTTCTCTGTACTGTCAAAATCATGCTATGACAGTTAGTTGAAATTTAATACTGTTTAAATAGACCTCATCTGAGAATTCAGGCACAATTGATAATCCACATCCGTGGGAAAGTATGGAAAGGAAAAAAAAGGTGGAGACCCCAGACCACCTCTCCCTGTCCTTGTCCCCACACCTCCTCACTGGCCGCATGGGAGCAGAGAGCACATTGTGGAAGGGAGCGGGGGTTGGTAATCTGGCTGCTACAACCTGAAAGCTGGGCAGTGGTATATTTTGCAGCATAAGCTAGTTTCAGGGCACATCCGAAGGGGTGCTGAGAGCGAGGGCAGTCCTTTCTCTCTGTTTCTGTCTTCAAAGAAAAGACAGTGGTTAAAAGAGCTTCCCCAAAGACCCAGAATTGAATTTAACTCGGTTGTGGCAGTTCCATTAGATCATAACGTTGATTTACTGAAATTTCTATTTATCAGTACAGCCATTGTAAAAAAAAAAAAAAGTCAGGGGGTGACAGTTGTTTCAGCTTGTTTGTTATATGGCTTGGAGCTGAGTTTTCCCCCTCTCTTCACATCCTTTTAACCCTAGACTCATCAGATGCAGAATTTGTCCTACACAGTTAGGTGTTTCCTGTCTGGTTAACCTCCAGGAGTCACCAAGCTCTTTTTCCTTGTCAGCATGCTGCATGAATTTTTTTAAGAGCTCTTTTACCAATAAAAGCTATTTATTGTATTTTTTATAGAAACATGTCTATTTTACATTGGCGTTTCTGTGTTTGCAGTGAATATATAATTGATTTGTATTTTATTCATTATCCTCTATTCTGTTTTGATGCCAAGGGGGAAAAATTAAAGATTAGTGATTATTTCTGCTCTTTTTTTTTTTAACCTTTCTTGATCAAAAAGTAAGAAGTAGATATTGTAAGAACCCTGATTTTTCTATTACTAAATTGTTCTGTATGTTAAGTCTTAGCATCCAAAGGCTTTGTATAAAATATTAATACATATGTAAATCTCCCTAAAGTTCTGTTTCTTTGCATTAGTGAATGAGTGACATATTCAAAGCTCAGAAGGTGTAGAGTGGTGTGTAATGAAAAAGCTTTCCTCTGTTCCTGTCTCCCAAGTCCCTCAGAAGCACCTGAAAGTACCAGATTTTTGTATACCCTTCCAGAGGAAGATACAGCTGTCACCTGATTTTTTTAAACATGTTTTTTAAAAAACATGTTTCATCACTGATTAAATCTAATGTAGTGACAAAATGGGTAAAAGATTTTTCCTGAATCTTAAGCAATGCATGGTGTTTTAATGGCAGCTATAAAAAGTCCTCTGTTTCCCAGTGGGACCGTGGTAATAGGGTAGCAAATGGGGCCCTGTGGGACACATTCCTGTGTCCCAGGGGAAGTATAGACCTCCTCTTCCTGCCATCGGTCCTAATTTTTGTATTTATGATGCTGATACTCTTAGAGAGGGGAGTATGTTAACTCTCTAACATTTGGTGTACGAAAAATATCAGACCCATTTCTCTGCGCTCTTGTTGTTGAAGGGATTCTAGAAGGAAAAAGGGCTTGTCTTTGCCCTTAGAAAAGTTACTAGAACCAGGAAATCAGACTGTTGGCTAGTGCATGCTAGGATTCTAGCCTGCGTTTGTGACCTGGCCAAGTTGGGGCAGGGGCTACTCTGAACAGTATCCCTGGAGCTGGCAACAAAGGACTTGTCCTGTGTTATCTGCCTTCAGTGATCCACACCCCACACCCAAACTCAAGCCCACCTCCTTACTGCTTGTGGACCATCTGAGGTCAAATACACAGGTAAACTTACACAAGGCTTCCTAGGTGCCCATAACGCCTTTAAGAGGTGGTGTGCTATGAGAGGGGGTTATTCACAGTGAGTAGTTACAGATTCAGAAAATCATTAGCTGGAGGTTGATAGAAAAAACCATCTTCCTTTCAGCTATGTTTTTTTTTTAGTAATATTTAATGAGGGGAGGGTGGCTCAAAGACACTTCCTCCCCTTCTAAATAAGATTTAGAGTAAAGTGGTGAGAGGGAGGGATTGGACTGCTTCCCTTTAGAATTCTGCCTTTTTTTTCTTCCCAAGGAAAATGTCCTTAAGAGCTCACTATGACCAGGCATTTCTTTAAACTGACAGCTGCCTATGAAGTATAATGGATTTCCTGGCAAATAAATCAAGAAAGAGCAGGACCCTTCTTTAGTCATTACTTTACCAGAGCTTTTTAGCCCAACTTTAATTCAGAATGATCTTGGAAAAGTTTATAATGGAATTGGTATGATTATTCATAACAATTAAATTTCGCTTATTGGTAAACCATGTGAATAACTGGCCTCTGGGTCACGGACTCCCCCCTCCCCAAGGTGCAGGGCCCAGAGATAAGGCAAGTCATGCCTTGCTGAGGAGGGTGTGTACTAGCGAGAAACAGGAAGCTGTACTTCAGCGGCCTGGCCTGTGTGGAGACTTCTCACTCTGAGTCAGGTGTGCTGAGGTCCCTCGGCAGGGGACACTGCCTTTGTACGTACGCCCTGGCTGCCACACTGCTGAGCACAAGTACTTTACGGTGTCAGTAATTGATGTGTGGAGAGAAGTATGACTGCATTACAGCTTAAAGAGCTTTCACACTCCGGTCTCTACCGGAGGAGAAGAGACCGTCCGGACAGTCTGAAAGTAAATGGGTCACCGGAGGAAGAGCTAAGGTGAGTACAGTCACGCTTGGTTAAAGGTCAGGGCACGAGAAACTGCAGCCCGGATTCCTGCCTCAGGGATGCCGTAATGTGACACACACATTGAGAAGGAACCTCTCGGGCTGGGAGTGGACCGAACACACCAAGATTGGGCTGGATTAGAATTGTGCAAAGCCAGACCTCTTCGCCGTGTCTGCACAAATCCTTTAAATGGATTTAGCTCTTTTCCAAAATAGCTAAATATATCTTTTAAAATGATGTGCTCTCTAGAGGATTATTTTAAACTGGAAACAATTGATTTTTGCCCTTAGTTTCAAGATAGCTTGCTTTGACTTATTAGAATATGTTCCTGTGAGGAATTTTTCTTTGAGTTTTGGTGGTGGGCACAGTTGATGGAGTTCTGCGGAAAGTGGGAAGTGCCGGGTGTACACGGAGATGCTTTGCTATTGAAATGTGCAACAGAGGAATGCAGTGGCACTACCGAGTGTCACTGGGAAGGACTGACCTCAGGACTCCGGGGTCATTTCAGCTAACAACGTTAGGGTTCTGGGCTTTCAAAGATAATCTGCCTACACTAACACAATTTTAGTTTTTGTTGTAACTAGTAAAAATTTCTTGTAGATTTGTGTTCCGAAAAGTTCCAGATTAAACCTGTGTGTTAACTGTGAAGAGTTTAGATTTTCTGTTCCTGTTTTAGTGCCGATGGAGGCTGCAGTAGAGACTTCCTTTCCTTTCCTTTTCATTACGTTTACTCTTTCCTCTTTTTTTTTTGTTTTGAGAATCTTAAGTATTTGAATACTCTGATTAGATGGTAGGAGGGCTATTTTAGGTACTGGCACTCTTTTTCCTACCAACTCATTTTCAGAATTTACTATACATTCTCTATTTAAATTTGACAGGAGAAAGATTGACACGCTTTTAAAAACTCCTCTTTTAAATTTGTGTTTGTCTTATAGACAGCTATACTACGGAAACTCCTTTGGGAGGGAAAGATTTATTTGAAAATGATTGACTCAGTAATTTTTGGAGAGAATAGTAGATATTAGATAAGTATCATTGAAATTACTAAAATCATCAGAATTTGTTGCCTATTATGTCAGGTGTCTCTTAGCTACATTTATTGCCTTGTTTGTGGTTTTGTTTGTTTGTTTGTTTGTTTTTTCTGAGACAGAGTCTCATCCTATGCCCTGAGCACAGTGCAGTGGCATCATCATAGCCAGCTGCAACCTCAGCCTCCTGAATTGCTGGGATTACAGGTGCTAGCCGCAGGGCTGGCTGGGTTTTTTAATTTTCGTTAAATCGGTGTCTCAACTCTAGCAAAGACAAGTCTCAAACTCCTGAGCTCAAGCAATCCTACTGCCTCAGCCTCCCACAGTGCTGGGATTATGGCCATGTGGTTCTCTTAGCTACTTTTAATGTATTAACTCTGAATTGATTGGATTAAACAAATTGAAAGCCTCAGAGTTTGAGTTATTTAAAAATTGATATGTGAAGTTAGTGAAAATTACTAACCAGGTAGGCTGGGTTTTTTTTTTTTGTTTGTTTGTTTTTGAGACAGAGCCTCAAAGTTATCACCCTGGGTAGAGTACTGTGACATCACAGCTCACAGCAACCTCCAACTCCTGGGCTCAAGTGATTTTCCTGCCTCCGCCTCCCAAGTAGCTGGGGACTACAGGTGCCCATCACAACACCTGGCTATTTTTTGGTTGCAGCTGTCATTGTTGTTTGGCAGGCGCAGGCTGGATTCAAACCCACCAGCTCAGGTGTATGTGGCTGGTGCCTTAGCCACTTGAGCCACATGCGCCCAGCCAGTTACAATGGTTTTTAAGTCAACTAAATTTTTTTTCTCCGATAATTTAAATTAAATGAAGAAAAGTAATTTTTAAGTATTGCCTGTTCCAGTGGTTTAGGGGGAAATATTTCCCCACCCATTCTTCCAGTGATACAAGGGACTTGGGATTCTGCCATTTCTTTTGTTCCCTAATGCAGAGAGAATGACCAATTTTAACTTAGGAGCTTTATGAGTACATTTTAGAAGTAGGCTGTTACCTGTTTGCCCATGTTTTGTTGTTGTTGTTGTTGTTTTTCAAGATGGAGTCTTGCTCTGTCACCTTGGCCATGACACAGGGGCATCATCCTAGCTCACTGCAACCTCAAACAGGCCTCAACACCATGCCTGGCTAATTTTTCTGCTTTTAGTGGAGATAGGGTCTTGGGGCGGTACCTGTGGCTCAGTGAAGGGTGCCGGCCCCATATACCAAGGGTGGCAGGTTCAAACCCGGCCCTGGCCAAACTGCAACAAAAAAATAGCCGGGCACTGTTGCAGGCACTGTACTCCCAGCTACTTGGGAGGCTGAGGCAAGAGAATTGCCTAAGCCCAAGAGCTGGAGGTTGCTGTGAGCTGTGATGCCATGGTACACTACCAAGGGCAACAAAGTGAGACTCTGTCTCAAAAAAAAAAAAAAAAAAAAGAGAGAGAGAAAGAAATAGGGTCTTGTTTTTGTTCAAGTGTATCTCCAACTCCTGAGCTCAAGCAGTCCTCCCACCTCAGCCTCCCAAAGTGCTAGTATTACAGGTGTGAGCCGTGGCACTTGGCCCCGTGGATTCTTTAATAAACTTAAGAGAGGTAGGATTTTTGATCCTACTAATATACTCAGACTATTTAAGTGTTTGTTAAATGAGATTTCTAATAATCAGGAACAGTGAGATTAAAATTAGGTACACCCAAGCTCATTGCCACTCAGTGGACAAGTTATATTGTCGTTTTGACCATTGGTTTGTTCTTTAAAATGTAGATAAGAAATAACTACGATTATTGTGCATAATTTATTCTCTCACAAAATTCTTACCACTAACGTAATGAGGCAGGTGAATAGTGACATAGAGTTAATATGCCATAGGGTTAATAAATCATTTAGCCAGTTTTTGTTGAACGCCTACTATGTACAAAATAAAGATGCAACGATAAATAAGACAGTGCACCCCTATGTTTTGGCACATGGAATATGACTGACAGATGTCCTCTCCCTGTGAGCAGTTATTTGACTTTGAATATATATCTTGTGAAACATCTTTCTTGCTGTCTTAAGTATTGCATAAGATTCAGTCCTACGCTAATTCCTTCTTCGTTACATGTCCATCTTCTTATCATGCTTGGAGACTGTAACAGAAAAATTTTCAGAAACTTAAAGGATGTGCCCACTGCCAGTAAACATATTTTTTCCTCTTAAGTTTAAATAAAAGGCTGTGATCTGAAACAAAAACATAAGTATTTACAAAGGATTGTGATACATGTGGAAATAGTTTTGGCTTCAAACTTGAAATTTTCCAAAGCAAAAGCACGTGTAAAAGGCAGTGTGACAAACACTGGGCCTTATAGATTTTTGTTCAAGTACTTAATATGAACTGAAACTTACTTTATTTGTCTACTTTGCACAGTGGAACTTTTCCCACTGTGTTCAAGGGTTACAGTTAGAGGGAAGTAACTTATACTTGTTCCAAGGGGCTCAGAAATTGTTCTGAGCCTTAGACAGGGTATTGACTCTTTTATCCCCCAAACTGTTGATGTCCCCAAGTAACATTTAAGTTACACCTATATTCTCCTTTGGCTGTTTATTCTATGAATTAAATTATGAGGCACCCAAATACAGTGTTTTTTTGAGATTGCCGGTATGAAAAACACACTTGCGCATTTTCCTCTCTTTAAAATTCTCAAAGTCATTATTGCTCTGCCTCAAATATAAGAGATCAGTAAACAACAGACTAGGGTGATATCTCAAAATTCAAGACTTTCCTGCCTGTTAAAAATGTAGTAACATAGGGGTTGGTGATATGTGGCGCTCAGATTTTATAAGGCCCAAGAGCTTAAGATGGATTTTACATTTTAAAATGTTTGAAAAAAATAATAAAAAGAATATATATATATATATATATTTGAGACAGAGTCTCACTTTGTCCCATTGGGTAGAATGCCACGGTATTATAGCTCCCAGCAACCTCAAACTCCTGGGTTCCAATGATCCTCGGGCCGCAGCTTCCCGAGTAGCTGGGACTACAGGCGCCTGCCACAATGTCCGGCTATTTTTTAGAGACAGAGTCTCACTCTTGCTCAGGCTGGTCCCAAACTCGTGAGCTCAAGCAATCCACACGCCTTGGCCTCCCAGAGCGCTAGGATTATAGGCATGAACCACTGCACTTGGGCCCGAAAGAATTTTCTTGACATGTGAAAATTACATGAAATTCAGATTTCAGTGTCCATAAATGAAGTTTTACTGAAACACAGCCATGCTCAGTATTTGTATGTGTTGTCTGTGATGGTTTTGTGCTACACTGGAAAAGTTGAGTTGTGACACAGACCAGTGTGACCCAAAAAGACAAAAAGTATTTACTATCTGGCTGACCCCTGGTCTAGTACTAAGATAAAGAAAGAACCCTTAGATCTTGCCCCCTTGTTACTTCGGTTATGCTTCTGCCCTCTCCACTCCCCCACCTCCCAGTTAAATTTATCAGATAAAATCAGGGCTGTGCCAGCCATTTGAAAAGAATGTGAATCCAAAAAATGTACTTAGGAATTTGTATTCCTAATAGTTTAGGAGTACAATAAAAAATGTAAAGTTGATGGACAACAGCAAGGGTCTTTTCACATCATAGACCTTCTTCATGCCTTCCTTTCCTGCTGCAATGACCTTGAAGTGTCCTCCCGATTCGTGGATGGATCAGGAATAATCAGGAATGGAAGTGCAAAGAAAAAGGAACCTTTACTTGCCGGTTATTGACTTTCCAAGTTCATACCTTTCCAAATAAAAGATATAAAATCATTTTCAAGTGGTGGGAATGTCCTTGTTTTGGTTTGAGAGTGAACGCTCAGATCATGTGCTCCTGACTAATACATCCCCCTTGTTATGGGCCAGGTGCTGTGTTAGGACTTTCCTGAGCTTGAGTTCCTGTAAGGAAGGAAAAAGAAGTGGCGGCTCTAAAATTCAGTCCTTGATTCAAAAGTTAGTATTCAGAAT